GAACGTGGCGAGGAACTCATTCAACGACCGTATCTTGGACACCCTGACGCAAACTTATCTGCTGCGAGAGCTCATCGCCCGAAGCTCCGACGCAATTGAATACGACTCCAACAACGACAACGTCGAAGACCACATCACCGCGGAGTTCCCTAACCTGCAGGAGGAGAACGGTGTCCCTCCTCACTCTCTTCGGCTGGTTGTTGGCGGTCTCTACGAGCTGATGAGAAGCTTCAGCCCGTGCGATCGTTTGATGAACCACGCGCACGTCGTGCTCAAAGCGGTTTACGAGAAACATGTCCTCGTGGAGCGAATGGATGGGAAACAGTTCCCCTTGCCCCGGATCTGTTTCCGCTGGGCACTGGGGAGGGGGGCTACCACCATCTGCCGACGACAATACCCCTTGCGTCCGGCGTACGCTTCGACGTCCAACGGCTCGCAAGGCACCGCGTTGGCCCGCTGCGTGGTCGACGTCCGCCGAAGCCCATTTTCCCACGGCCACCTCTACGTGGCTTTGAGCCGGGTGGAGACGCGAACGAACATCCGCATCTTCACGCTGCCAGAACGTTGCAGCCCTGCCGGTGACGCCCTCACCGAAAACGTGGTCTGGCCTGAGTTCTTGCTGACCGACACTGCCACATCTGTTGTGCGAAAACGACCGGCCGCGAGCCCCCCCGACCACCCTGCTAGCGGCAAACGTGGCGCCCGATGCCGCTAGAATGTCGTCTGCCTCCCTTGCTCTGGCTTCGACGCAAAAACACATCCGTCGCCATCTTCCCGCCGTCGCCACTGCCCCCCCCCGCTTGCCGCCACCTCCGCAAGCCCCATCCCGCTGGCTTACGTCGCCATTTCAATTCTTACATTGTCGCCACGCAGTGACGCTAGCAAGCATTTCGGCTTCCAGACTCCGCCGAGCGTTCGCCGTTTCCTGCGCTTCTCGCACGTCGGGCCTCACTCGCCGCCGACCGCCGCCGCGATGCCCGCCGTGCTTGCCAGGCCCGCTGCCGCTCGCGGCGCCCTACGCAGGCCGGCTGGCAACGCGGTCCTCGACACGTCTGTGCCAGAGCGCCCGCAGCCCGACGCTTGCAACCGCGCCCGCGCGTCTCTGTACACGGCGAACGTCGACTTCGAGATGGTCGACGCGCCGACGAAGGCCAGCGCGGGCTTTCGCGTCGCGCTCTCGGACGGCATGAGCACGCGCAGCGGGGCCCCCGCCAATCGCCACGGCCTGACCACCGCAGTCAAGAGGGCCACCGACTTGCTGAAGTTGAAGCTGCCGCCCAACGGAGCGCGCGTCTCCGCCGAGGGGCCCCGGCCGCCGCAGTCTGGGCGCAACCCTACTTCTGGGAGGAGCTGGGCCATTGTGGCGGCGGCCTATGGCGACAGCGCCAAGGCCGCTACCCCGGCCACGGAGCACGTTCTGCATGTGTTCTCTCCCCGCTTTCCTGTCTCCCGCCCTCATGCTACTCTCCCTGCTCCATCGCCCCCTCCCTTCCTCCCTCTCTGCTCTCCTGTATCATCGTCATCCTCTGCCCGCTTGTCCGCCCCCTCCCTCCCCCAGTCCTCCGCGCCCCTCCTCTGATCACTTCCCTTTCACATCCCCCTCCACACGCTTCTGGCCCGACGGGGCGGCGAACGCATCCACTGGCAACATGTTGTCACCCAGGGAACAGAAGTCTATCAGAACGGCTTCTTCGGATGGCACACTCGGCATTGATCGTGACAAAGATGTTTCCATGTCGTAACTGCATGAGCTACGCTACATACCACGATTTGTCTCATTTCCCCATATGCTTTTTGGATGTAGCTGCACGCACAAAAAACATGATCGTGACGCCTTCGTGAATGCAATCCAAAAGCGCAAAACAGGTGGTCGGGACATGCACCACTGGGTTCCCGTCAAAGACCTTCCAGACGCGTTCAACCTTGGAAAAACTCACGGACAAGCTTGCCCCTCAGGTAAACCACGACTTCGGCAGACGGAAGCTCAACCATTTCCACCCCATTCTAGACGCTTCGAGCGCCACCAAACAATATCTCATGTTGTCCAACAAAACGCAACCATTGGTCAATTTGGCATTCTTTGTCATCATGTCCACAATGTACTTAAACGAAGGACACTACGTTATCACCGCGCTGGCCGTGCACAGTTGGCTTTCTCATCTGAAGACGTCCCGGGCGCAGCTCCTGGGTGGCGCCGCCGCCCGGGCGAAACTCCAGGAACGGCTCTTGGACCAGCGCAACACGATGGTTAAAGAGGAGAAGTTGCCGACGCTACTTTCGGTGGAATATTACGCCGTCCGTCGGTTCTACGACGCATTGGTTATTTGCGAAGACCTATATGGCCGACAACCAGATGCCGGGCACCACATCCCGAGTTTCACAGAAGGCGACGCTGGCTGCAACATCCAGACTGATCCGGGACCAAGCCCCGCAGAGTTGCCGCGCGCATGCACCACATTGCCGGGGCCCTACGAGAGCGCAGTGGCCAGCTCAACAAGATCCCCGTTCTGTTGGTTCAAATGACAAAAACACTCCTTGCCACGCACGCGCAGCGGCTGCCTTATCAGGCACAGCCGGTATACATGCGTTTCTTTCGGAGCGCGTTCGGGGCGCGCAATTGGGAGCAATCGGTCATATCCGACATTTCTTTCATTGAACATGTTGGAGATGGGGATTTCAATTTCTCGCGGAAGTTGCGCCCAGGCGCTTTCTCTATTTACAACTCTTCGGCAGACAGAGAGCCCGTGGAGGCCGCCGGGGCCACCGCTGCCACGAACGCTTCCGAAGGCGAGCGGGAACTCGGCCACACGTTGATCCAGCTGTTGACATCCAGGCAAGAGAGCACGTCGTTGCATTCCAAAGTGAACGACTTGCTCGGCTTCCACGCCACGGACTTTCACGAATCGCAATACACATTTTGCGAACTGCGTACGTTCGTTTATGGCACGCGCCTGAGGGAAACAGAGACGACTGACTCGTGGCTGGAAGAGATGCGCGCGGCCCACCGGCGCCGGCATCGGCAGGTCCTCCTGCCGCACGTTTGGGGCGCAATTGCCGCCAGGGACCGCGAGCGGGCGGCGTGGGTGAGGCGACTTCTCCAACGCATTGACACAAAAACAAAAAACTACTCAACCCTTCATCTCTCTCGTCCCCTGTGGGGCCATGGCATCGTCCAGCCTTCCATCGTATTCCCGCTCTCTCTCTCTTTCTCTCTTTCTCTCTCTCTCTCTCTCTCTCTCTCTCTCTCTCTCTGTCTCTCTCTCTCTCTCTCTCTCTCTCTCTCTCTCTCTCTCTCTCTCTCTCTCTCTCTCTCTTCTCTCTCTCTCTCTCTCTCTCTCTCTCTCTCTCTCTCTCTCTCTCTCTCTCTCTCTCTCTCTCTCTCTCTCTCTCTTTCCATGGCGTGCTCTCTGACCGCTATGGTTTACAAGGCCCTTCAGTTACTGGGCGCGCCGGCACCTCCAGCTTCGCGCTCGAGCGAGGGACAACCAATGAATGTACCCGCATTATGATGTTGATATCCCCATTGCATTTTTATTCTCTCCTTTATCCTGACAGCTCTTCCACGGTTCTCCACGCCCCCCCCCCCCTCGCCCTGCGCATTCCCACGCTCGAGGGGCGCCCCGGAAAGGGAGGCAACGCCGGGCCAAGGCGATGTTCCGAGAGAAGCCGATGGGGGGGGCCAGACCTCCTGGGACCCATGGGCTTCCCCACCCCTCACTCACACGTGTTCTCAAACATTCCATTGGCCAAGATTTAAGGCGAAGCGGAGCGAGCTTTCGAAATCTTTTGTATATATATGCATATATATACACATATACATATACATAAACATATACATATACATATTCATATACACATACATATACATATACATATACATATACATATACATATATGTGTGTATATATACACCAGACTGCATTGGCGTTTCGCGCCATGCACCTTGGTCATTGAAGTTTGGTGCGCAGGCGGAATAGCAGGAAGGTCAAGCCGACAATTTAGCGATAACTCCTTGTTGCCTTTTCTGGCATCGCCGCTATAATAGTGTTATTCGTTATCCTTCTTCCATGTTTACTTTTTTTCATTTTCGCCATACCCTGCGCATTCTCCCCATCCTCCGCAGCTATTCGTTGCGGAGGTTCCTCCTTGGAGAGCCTCTGGGGGCCTCGCAAAATTTGTCTCAGGCTTTCTCAAGGTTTTCTGGAGGCCTCCTGGGCGTATTCTGGTGGCCTCTGGGGGCGTCCTCGGGCCACCCTGCCTCCAACCGCGGTCTACCTGAACGACCGGGTCACGATTTGGAATGCTTCGGAGGGCGTCTCGGGGCCATCTTGGGCCGCCATGGGGCTCTCTCAGGGCCATCTTGGACCCGTGTTGTGCCGTGTTGGAGCTCTCTTGGACTGCCCGGAAGCCCTTTCGGATGGTTGTGGGGCGATTTGGGAGCCTCCCAGGCGGCTTCGGACGCCCAGAACACCGCCGTCTTGGAGCGTCGGGAAGCCGAAAAGAGGAGAACCCCCAAATTCACCAAAAATCATTTTAGAAAATCAATGATGTTTGCCCCTAGGGGCCTTCTTGGGAGTGCTCTTGGAGGCCTCTTTGGGACCGCCCTGAAGGCCTCGTGGGCCATCTGGGACGGTCACTCTTGGAGCGCTCTTGTGCTGTCTTGGGGGTCTCTGAGACGTCTCCGATGACCCCCTCTGACCGCCTTAGGTGTGCTGGGAAGGCTTGGCAAAACGCCCTGCGAGGCCCGGGGAGCCGCTTCGAAGCCCGTCCAGAGGGTCCCAAAGCCCCACATCCCGGGAGTCCGGTTTTGGGGGGGGACCCCTTTCGCGTTCCGCCCAGATTGTAAAAAAATATACGGGAATATGTCGCCCAAGACCCCCTTGTAGAGGGACAGGCCCGACCTAAGATTGGCGAGTATCCAAACCTTCTCCCCGCCCTGCGCTCAGCCAGGAGCGCACGACGGCGGCCGAGTTGTTTTTTTTCGCCTGCCTCTCCCGGAGGTGCCTGCGCGTGCCGGGGGCCGCGCTCCTTCTCCGACGAGAGCACGGCGTCGGGTGGCACGGCCGCCGCGCGGTCGTTGTGCCTTGGCACCTTCACCCACTCGACCCTGGAGGGCGAGCACTTTGCCGACTCGGTCAGCACAGCGCTCTCCGAGGCCCGTTGGCTCCGAGGAAGAGGGGGCACCGATGCCGCTGCCGTTCCCTCGGCTGCGCTCCTCGGGTTATGGTGTTCCAGCCTACTGTAGCCTTGACCACCAGAAAGAATTTCGGGCACCAGAGAAGCATTCAAAAACTCAAGGGATTTCACGTGTCGGGCCCTGGGACACGCTCGTTCGACACTGTTTTGGCACTGTTTCTATACTCTTCCGGGTGCTCGAGATCATTTCTGGGATGTGGTCCTTTAAGAACCAAACGAGCAAACATGATCGACCCACGAACCCGGAAAGGAATATAGAAATGTAAGGCATGGCAATGTTTCAAAGACACCTGATTGGGCGACGGGCACATGCAATGCTGAGTGTATCGATCTTGATGTACCGTGCCGAGAGCTGTGCTGTGCTGCGCCGTGCTGAATTGCGATGTGCCATGCCGCGAGTGTGCTCTATAGCATTGTGGATCGAGTCCTCCTTTGCATCCGAGTCCTGACCGATCTGATCTGGGTCGTAAGCTCGAGCTGCCTGAGCACATAGTAGCTGCCCTAGAGCTGATTGGCAAGGAGACATGCTAGGAGGACGCGCCGCGGAACGTCCCAAGGGACGCGCCAGGCGACGTGCCAGGGGACGTGCCATGGGGACGCACCGCGGGACGTGCCAAGTGGACGCGCGCCAATGGACGTGCCTCGGGACGTGCCAGGGGACGCGCCGCGCGACGTGCCAGGGGGACTCGCCACGGGACACGCCACGGAACGTGCCAGGGAAAGTGACAGGTTGCAATGCTGAGTGTATCGATCTTGATGTACCGTGCCGAGAGCTGTGCTGTGCTGCGCCGTGCTGAATTGCGATGTGCCATGCCGCGAGTGTGCTCTATAGCATTGTGGATCGAGTCCTCCTTTGCATCCGAGTCCTGACCGATCTGATCTGGATCTTAAGCTCGGGCTGCCTGAGCGCATAGTAGCTGCCCCAGAGCTAATTGACAGGGGAACATGCCAGGAGGACGCGCCGCGGACCGTCCCAGGGGACGCGCCAGGCGACGTCTCAGGGAACGTGCCATGGGAACGCACTTCGGGACGTGCCAAGGGGACGCGCTACGGAACGTGCCAATGGACGTGCCACGGGACGCGCTCCCAGGGCCACGATCCCTCGTAAATTACTTTGCGTCCGCGCTCCCAGGGCCACGATCCCTTGTAAACTACGCTGCGTCCGCGCTCCCAGGGCCACGATCCCTCGTAAATTACCTTGCGTCCGAGCCCCCAGGGCCCCGATCCCTCGTATTTTACACTGCGCCCGCGCTCCAAGGGCTACGATCCCTCGTAAACTACAATGCGTCCAAGCTCCCAAGGCCCCGACCCCTCGTAAATTACGCTGCGCCCGCGCTCCGAGGGCCACGATCCCTCGCAAATTACGCGTGGTCCGCGCTCCCAACGCCACGATCCCTCGTAGATTACGCCGCGCCCGCGCTCCCAGGGCCTCCCTCCTGGGGCATGCTGGGGGCGCCCAGGTCCTTCAAGTTTTGCCAAACAAGCGTTTCTTGTGTGGCCAAGGAAATCTTAGAAAAATCAGCGAATTAGTCGAGACGTCCTCGAAATTCCTGCGCGCGGGACGCGGCACGCGCGAGACATCCTCGGAATTTCTCCGCTCGGGGCGCTTTTCCGCGTCGCGGTCGGGCTTCAGATTTCGGTGTGTTTCAAAGCTTCTGCTAAAATGCCCCGCATTTTTTTTTACAAAGGAAATCGGGAGTCCGCGGACCCCGTTACTTATCAAGGATCCAAGGTGGGGGGGTGATTTTCCTCGAGCGGGCACGCGCGAAACGCATTTGTTTCACGCCGAATTGGATTTTACTTCGTTTTTTATCGAGCGGAAATCTGCCGGCCCTCTTCCAGGGGGGAATAACCCCACTAAAAGAGAACCCTGGGCCTGCACCCTTTCCGGGAAAAAACAACGCTTGGGTCCAGCCATGTCCTGAGGCTTCAAGAGCCCAGTGGAAGCGAAAAGGCGAGAAGGTAAAACAGATTGAAGAAGCAGTGCTGAAGGATTTGGGCGTCTGCGAGAGGCTCGGAGGGCGCCTGGAGTAGTCCTGAGGCGACCGCTTGTTGGAGGCCACCTTGAGCGATCTTGGAGACCCCAAGAGGGCCTCCTGGAAGGCTCGAGGAGGCAAAAATCATGGATTTTCCTGAGGTTGCTGAAGAATTTTGGCATATGCTTCTTTTCGGCCTTCCGACGGCCCGAGAGGGCCCAAGATGCACAAAAGATCGCCCCAAGATCGCCCAAGAGGTTTCCAGGATGGCCCCAGAACGACCCAAGAGATCTTGGGCTCTCTGTGGGGAGGCCCTCTTGGAGCCACCCAGGGCCACCTTGGACGCTCCAACGCCTCGCGCCCCCCCCCCGTCCAGACACGGGGCAGAGGGAGGGGGAGGGGGAACCCCCCATCCCCGAAGGGAAGAAGGGTTCGCAGAGCGAGCTCGCCAGAATGCTCACGCCCAGAGGGCTGGCGGGATTCTGGTCGCAGCGCCACCCGGGAGAGGTCCGAGGAGCCGCGGCGTCGTTGCTTTTTGAGTTCTCCACGTGCTCTTCCCCACCCTGCTGTGAGCCAGGGGGCCCAGAGCAGTCCAGCAGGCCCGGGGCCAGGCCAGAGCAAAGAGGAAAAGCAGACAGACTCCGATGGGCAGAGCGTGTTCTGCGCGCCGATCTCGCCTGGCCAGCCTGGCGCAGATCGGCCCAGGCTTGCCCGGCCCCCCTGGCCCGTGGTGGAGCGGGAGGAGCGGGGCACGAGGCTGACCGCCTGCTCCACGACAATCAGGCGCTGAGGGCCGAGGAGGTCCTCGCCCGAGCGCTCGAGCACCTCGACGATGCAGGCCTCAGAGATGCTGCGGCCGCGGAGGCGGCCAGGGTCCTGCGCGCCAGCGACTCTTACGCGGCCGTCCGCGAGCTCTGCCAGCGGTACGACGAGGTTGCTGAAGTGCTGAAGACGCAGGGCGGGCACCTGAAGCTCGTGTGGGAAGACGAGGAGGGCCAACTGTGGCTGCACAAGCCCGCCGACGAGACGTGGCTGGAGTTCAAGATCGTCAGCAACATCGACGCGCCGCTTTCGCATTGCCTTGCGTGCGGTAACGAGGTGAGCCTGATCCCAGAATTTGAGCCGAACGTCGTAGGAACTCCGACCTTCGTGGGAGAGTCAAACGCGTTCACCTCGGTCGTCCGAGTGATACTGGGGGTGATGTTGCTGCGCCTGGAGCTCATGTACGAGATTCGCCGGTTCTACAATGCCGAGCACGGCTTCCTGGCCGAGAGCATCCGCTCGGACTTCCCCGTGGAGGGCCGACCCGTGCCCCCGAGGCACTGGCGGCACAAGCGGATGAGGATAAGCACCTCGAACGTGTGGATCCCGCAGGGCGGCGGACGCGAGGGCACCACGCTCGTCCAGTCCTCCCGGGTCGACGCGGGCTTCAGGATCCCGGCGGCGCCCGCACGGTGGGCCGGTGGGGATTTGGCGTGCCCGCCCTGACTCCGGATCCGCCCTACTTTGGCTTTTTTCCCAACTTGAAATTGCGTCGGAAATCCACCTATAAGAGGCCGAAAAAGTAGGGCGGAAATTGCTGCACCCAACATAAAATAGGGCGGAAATCCACAGAAACAGCAACGGAAAAGTAGGGCGGAAATTGGCATCAGCGGGGCTTGAAAAGTAAGGCGGAAATTCCAAGCCCAACTTACGAATTTCCCCAAAGTATGGCGGATCCGGAGTCAGGGCGCACGGCTCGGGGACCCGGGCCGCTCTCTCCCGGGGGGCCGCCTCTCGGGCGACGGGGGGCCGCCGAGGTCCCAGGGCCGTGCGTCGGCGGGCCGGGCGGCGAGATCCTGCCCGGGGGGTTCCGGGATCGGCCCACGGTCCGTCGCTGCACCCTCCTCCTCCTCCTCTTCCTCCTCCTCCTCCTCCTCCTCCACCTCCTCCTCCTCCTCCTCCTCCTCCTCCTCCCGCTGTGGACGCCGCCCAGGATGCCGGACTTCATCGTGGAGTTTTTCTTCCGGCAGCTGGCCCCGTCCATCCTCGGTAACTTGCGCAGGAACGCGACGGCCGTCGGGAGCCCGGACGGCCCGTACGTTGCGCGGCTGGCCGCGGAGCCGACGGGAGGAGGAGGAGGAGGAGGAGGAGGAGGAGAAAATAGAAAGAGGAGAAGAAGGAGGAGGAGGAGGAGAAGGAGGTAAGGGGGAGGAGGTAGGAGGAGAAGGTAGGATGGAGGGGAGGAGGAGGAGGAGGAGGAGGAGGAGGAGAAAAGAGGAGGAGGAGAAAGGAGGAGGAGGAGGAGGAGGACAGCCACTTGCGAGGAGGGGGAGGAGGAGGAGGAGGAGGAGGAGGAGGAGGAGGAGGAGGAGGAGGAGGAGGAGGAGAAAAAGTTTTCAAGAGGAGGAGGAGGAGGAGGTTTCTAACTGTCCCCTGATGTCCCTACAGGTGTCTCTTGGAGCCTCTTGGAGTTTTCTGAGGAGCTCTCCTCGATGGCCTCCAGGGAGGGAGAGAGCAAGAGAGAGGCAGTGAGGGAGAAGGAGAGAAAGAGAAAGGAGGAGGTCGAGGAGGACAAAGAGGGCGAGGAGGACGGGGAGGAAGAGGAGGAGAGAGAGGGGGTTGGGAGGATTGGCTCAGATTCGCAATTGGGTTCAAGGACAAGCAATCATTGGTAGAACCCTTGGGCGGGACTGAACGAAAGGGGGGAAACCCGAGTCAAGAGCCAAATACAGGGAGGAGGGGAAGGAGGAGGAGGAGGAGGACGAGGAGGAAGAGCCTTAGGAGGCTTCTGGAGGTCCCCTCAGGCTTCCAGAGGCTCCAGGAGAAATGAGCAGGGCCGAAAACGTCCAGAGTCTAGTTTGGAGGATATTGGAGGAGGTCCAGCTTCCGAGCCACACATAGCTCGGATCTCTGGCGGCCATTCGGGACGATCGGCGCAACGCTCTCGGCGAGGCGCAGCTGCTGGAAAGCAAGCGGAGGCTGGAAACCCTTGAGATCGACGAAACAACCGAAAATCTTAAACTCAGGGACCCGGCACAACGTTGTTTGGTTAGGTTTCGGACTTTGTATTGTGCTTGTTGTTCCTTGTGTTTCCGTTGTGCTGCTCGCTCCTGTTTGCAACGCGTGTGTAGGTGAATCGTGTTTTAAGCTTTTGAGTTGCACCAGAGAAAAACCCAATCAGTGGATGGTTTTCGCTGAGGAGATCGACCGGGAACCCGGGAGCCTGGGAACCCAGAACCACCGAAATCGGCCCGGAACCAATAACCGGGAACCCGGGAACCCGGGAACCCAGGCTCCTACCAAAATCGGCGGGAAATGTTCTCTACATCTGTCGACTTCGGTAGGACCCCTTCAGTGCAAGCATTGAGTGGGGAGCTTCGAAGGTCTGGGGCCTGCGAGGGAGGGCCCGCCGCATCCTCGGAGGACACCCAGGGCGTGTACGCGGAGTGCGCGAGGGTCGAGGAGGCCGCCTCCCGCCGCAGGAGCTGCAGCGCGAGGAGCCTCCCTGGCCAGGACCCCTCGGGCCCACGCTGGCCATGTGGCGCTCGGCTGCTGCTCCTCCTCCCCGTCCTCCTCCTCCTCGTCCTCCTCGTCCTCCTCCTCGTTCTCCTCCTCCTCCTCCTCGTCCTCTTCGTTCTCCTATTCGTCATCCTCCTCGTCCTCCTCCTTGTCCTCCTCCTCCTCGTCCTCCTCCTCCTCGTCCCCCTCCTCCTCGTCCTCCTCCTCCTCCTCTCCTCCTCCTCCTCCTCCCTCCTCCTCCTCCTCCTCCTCCTCCTCCTCCTCCCTCCTCCTCCTCCTCCTCCTCCTCCTCCTCCTCCTCCTCCTCCTCCTCCTCCTCCTCCTCCTCCTCCTCCTCCTCCTCCTCCTCCTCCTCCTCCTCCTCCTCCTCCTCCTCCTCCTCCAAGACCTCCAACATTTAGAAGAATCAAGGCAGAGGTGGCTCACCGTTGTAAGCTTCTCGGGGCCTTCACCGAGCCCCTGGACCGTCAAAAACCGATGCAGGATGAAGAATCGGTCCCAAGTTAACCATCACATCGATTTGACGATCGCTCTCACGATCGATCGGCATCATTACCCGTTCGTCGATCTCACGATCATTGGTTGCGTGAATATACAGATATGGATACAAGTTCAGATGTACAGGTGTACACATGTACACATGAATACATGTGTATATATAGATATATATATATATATATATAGATTATAAGAGGCACGCATGCCAGGGATCATACAATCACGGATACAGCAGGTCGTTTGGGGGCCTTCGTTGGACTGCTTTGGAGCCCTTTGGGGGGCCGAGGATGGGGGGGAGGCGGGGGGGAGAGGGGGGGGGGCGAAGACAGGTAGGGGAGGAGGGCACGGTCGGTCGGAATAAACCAGGGGGGGGGGGGGGCGCGGTGCGGGGAAAGGGGAGGGGGCACGGCCGGTCGGAATAAGCCAGGGGAGGGGCACGGAGGACGGGGGGGCGGGGGCACGGTCGGTCGGAATAAGCCCCGGGGAGGGGCTCTGGAGACGGGCAGGGGAGCCGCGGGACGGTTAGAGGAGGGGGGCCCGGGGGGGGGGGAGCACGGTCGGGGGAGCGGAGGAGGGCACGGTCGGTCGGATTAAACCAGGGGGGGCGCGGGACGAGGAGAGGGGAGGGGGCACGGCCGGTCGGAATAAGCCAGGGGAGGGGCACGGAGGACGGGGGGACGGGGGCACCGTCGGTCGGAATAAGCCACGGGGAGGGAGGTGGGCTCTGGGGACGGGCAAGGGGGGCCGCGGGACGGTTAGAGGAGGGGACCCGGGGGGAGGGCACGGTCGTTCGGAATAAGCAGAGGGAGGGGGGCACGGGTGACGGGGAGGTGGGGGGGGCACGATCGGTCGAAAGAAACGAGGGGGGCACGACCAGGGGGGGGGGCAAAGGGGCCACGGGACGGGGAGAGGGGAGGGGGCACTGTGGATCGGGATACGCAGAAGGGGGGGAGGGGGCACGGAGGGTTGGGAAAGGGAGTGGGGCTCATTCGATCGGAAGATGCAGGGGGGAAGCACGAGGGACGGGTCCAGGCACATCCCAGCGCACATGCGCATAAGAGTAGCCCAGCGACCTCGGCCCGTCGGACGAAGCGAGGGGGGGCACAGAGGACGGGCCCCAGCACATCCCAGCACACACACGCACTGGAGTACACATCGCGGCACGCATCCCAACAGACGGAGACAGCACACATCTCATATGACATCGGAGGACACGGAGGCAGCGCACATCGTAGTACAGATCAGCACACACCCCATTATATATATATATATATATATATATATATATATACATACATACATATACATATACATTATACATATATATATATATATTATATATATACATCTATATATATATATATATATATATATATATATATATATATCGGAGGTTGGGGGGTGAGATCGAAGTGGAACGGAGAGCCCCCCTACCGCGAAATCGATTTCGGTTTCGTGTTCGTGCGTGCCGTGCGGGCGAGGCGAAGCTGCGTGGGCGGGCGAGAGAAAGTCTCCTGTGGCTGAGGCGCGGCCGGAACAAAAGAACCTTGACCGGGCGGCCGGTGCCCCGCGGTGTCCCGCCGGTGTCCCGCTGGTGTCCCGTATGGCTGAGGCGCGGCCGGGGCAAAAGAACCTTGACCGGGCGGCCGGTGCCGCGCGGTGTCCCGCCGGTGTCCCGCTGGTGTCCCTTCGGTGTCCCGTCGGTGTCCCGATGATGACGTGGATGAGAGTGCGTGCACAGTAATGACGACACGGGGGCCGTACTGTGACACGAGTAGGGGGAAGGCAGCAGGAGCGTCGCGTGCCTCGCCCGTCCCGTGCTCATAGCCTTCTGTTGTTCAGGGGTCGCTAGCGCCGCCCTCCGCCGCCGCGCCTGCCCGTGCATCCCCAGGTGGCTCGTGGACGCTGTGCTGGAGGCTGCGCGGGAGACACTGCAGACGGCGGGCACCGCGAGCCTAGTGTGGGCTGAGCAGACCGCGCAGTCGGCGCCCGACCGCAGCAAGTGGTGGATCGTCACGGTGGTGGTCGGGGGCCTCTTCGGACGGGCAACGAGCTGCCGCGCTGTGGCTCTGTTCGGCTTGGGGTTTCGTCGGGCAGTGCATGGCCGATTCGAAGCCGATCGCACCAGGGCGCCTGATTCTGGTGTGGTACGGTGGCGGGGAGGCATACTGGCACGAGCGCCTCCTGCTCTGCAAGGTGCGGGAGACGACGTGGATCATCGTCACTCCTGATGGCGATGTCTATCCAGAGGACATTCGGGCTCTCGGAGGCAGGCCGTGTCTGCAAGGGTCCGTGCCGCCGGCGATCCCGGCCGACGCCATGCTGTACAGATTCCCGCCACTCGGCCAGCTGCACACGGCGGAGGAGTGGCGGCAGATCTTCGACGACGGGATCGCGGCCGCCCAGCTGGAGGGCTGGGCTGGGCATCGACGACGACGCGGCTGATGCTGAGTCTGGTGCTGTGCGTGATCGGGTTGGTCAGCATGGCTGGACCGCCGACACGGGCCTGCCGGCTGGACCTCCGCCCGCCGCCGCCGGCGCGGGGGCCGGGATACTGGTGGCGGACGTGGGCGCGGCCCCCGTGGCCGGCGGCCTGGCCGCGCCGCCTGCTGTGCCGCTCGCCGCCGTGGGTGGAGGCGCTGCCATCCCGGGGGCTGGAGCTGCCGTGGGGGCCGTGGTGGCGCCCGGAGGTGGCCTCGCCCCTGGCATGCAGTGGATCGTGGTGGCCAACGACGGCCACCCGGGTGCGCCCTCCATCGGGACCGACTGGAGCGTGGACGCCAATGCCGTCGTCATGGGCAAGTTCGCGCTGGACAAGCTCGGATCTGCCACCCTCGTGCTGGAGAGCATCGCGGTCGGCAGCAAGAAGCATGTGCTGGTCTCGAGGAAGGGCGAAGTCGAGCAGGCGGTGGTCCGAGCTTCGGGAGCAGGCCTGCCAGGAGCTGGTCTCGGACCTCAGGCGATGGGAGACGGGACGGCGGCTGCAGCGCCGCTCAAGTCTTCTGACGCACGGGTGCTGCCGGTGCTGTACGATCAGATGGGCCAGAGGTTCAGGGCCTACTCGAACGCCGTCGGGCTGCTGGAGGAGCCGCGATTTGACGACTTCCCTGCGGTCGGCCCGAGGACGACGCTCTGGCTGTGCAGGTTCATCAGAGACCAGGGGAGCGTGCCTCGCACCAGGACCGAGAAGTGGATGCGGGACGCCCATGTGCCGGACAACGACAGGGTCAGGCACGAGCATGGCAGTCTCATGGAGATTCTTGAGACTGCGCTCACGTATGATCAGCTGGACGTGTCTGCCCCCGCCTCCTTCGAGATCCTGTCAAGAAGGGTTCAGCTGTTGGAGGAGGCTTACACGTCCAATCCGAAGGCGCCGCGGTTCGATGGGAGCGAGCACTTCCAAGGCCTCGGCAGGGAGGTCGCGGCCGTGGCGCCGCAGCTCACCTCGCACGCGGCGTTGCAGCTCCAGGGCGAGGCTGCGATCCAGAAGGAACGACGCAAGGCCCGCGAGGAGGCGGCCCTTGCGAAGAAGAGCTAGCCGCCCCGCGGTGTTTCGATTTTCGTGGTCCTACTCGGGCCGCCGCCGAGTCGCTGTCCTCTGCGAGGGCTGCGGCGAGTTTTTGACCAAGGCATGGCAGACGGTCGGCAGCGTGACCTTCTACCCTTGCCTCGACATCATGACTGGGAAGGCCCTCGCAGCTCACTCAGTCGTGGAGTTCAGCAACGTATTTGTCGCCGTGCTTGGATCGACAGGCGCGCCGACGAGGTTATTCGGGGTCTCAACGAGCTCGGGGGCGTTGGTGACAGGTCGCCCAGCGGTCCAGGTGGTGAGCAGGCGCGCGCTGCTGCTGCCTTGGCCCGGGAAGCGGCTGAAGCTGTGCCCTTGCCCAAGGAGAGACCCGCCCCGCAAGAAGCCCTGGCGGCACTTCTGCGCACAGACACCCGCTATGGTGACAGCGAGTGCGCCGGGAACATTGCACCGTTTGGCTCGGCTTCAGCATCTCTGCCGAGCCGCGACCTGCGCGGGGTGGACATCTACAACGTCCTGCCCTCGGACGCGTCGCACAAGCTCAAGCGGTTTAGCGACACCATCCTTCTCAGCGACGAGGAGTACGCATTGCGTATCAAGAGCGAGGGACTGCCCAACCTTTACTTTGACCCAGTGCTGGAGGCACAGCCTCCGAAGTGGGAGGGTTTTTGTCGGGATCTGCGTGACAGGGGACTGGTACGCTGGACTCGAACCCACAAAGAAAAGGTGGGTTTGTTCTTTGTTCGCAAAAAGAGTTGTGAATTACGACTTATATGCGATGCACGAAGGACCAACATACGATTTGACATCCCAGACTCAATACAGCTTGCTACTGGCGACTCGCTCAGCCGTCTTGAGCGCGCCTCTGACCAGACCATCTTCTCGGCCAGCTTCGACATCAAGGATTACTTCCACGAGCTCAGGATCGACGAGGAATTATCTCAGTATTTTGCTCTACCAGCGGTCCGTGCCTCGGCGGTGGGGGTGGGGAGCATCAATGGTGTCAAGGTTGGTCCAAGTGAGCTCATCTACCCGGCTCTGCAGTCACTACCGATGGGGTTTTCGTGGGCAATGTGGGCGGCCCAACTTGTCCATGAGGAGCTCCTGCGGCGGGCTGGTCTTCCTCCAGCTCGCCTTCTTCGCGACGGCACACCTCCTCCTTCGTTCGGGGGGGGGCCCGTTCAGCTGGCATACGTCGGCAACTTCGGGGCCTTCGGCTGTGACAAGGCCGAAGTTGAGGCCACGCACCGTCAGGCTCTCGAAGGCATTCGGCAGGCAGGCTTCCACGTGCATGAGATCGAGCAGGTCAGCACCTCTTTGGACATCGTGGGAGTGCACCTCGATGGAGATAAGAAGGTGGTCAGGCTGTCCTCCGCCAGGGCGCGGCGACTGCACGCTGGGCTACATGCTCTTGTACGACGCGGGCGCTGCACTGGGAGGGAGATGCGAGCCATGCTTGGGCACCTATGCTTTGCTTTCTTGCTTCGGCGCCCTTGCCTATCCTGCGTCGCGGCCTCCTTCGCCTTTGCCGAGGCGGCCGGGGGGGGGCCAAAGAACCTCTGGCCGAGCGCCAAGAGGGAGCTCCTCATCGCCGCTGCCATCCTGCCGCTGGTCTACGCCGACCTCGGGGCGGGCTGGCTCGACCAGGTGGTTGCGACGGATGCTTGCGATACTGGTCTGGGCGTCTGCGCGGCAGAGTGGGGCTCCCAAGATATACGGATCACTGGCAGCTACGACGAGCGCTGGAGGTTCAAGAAGGACCCGCTACGCAAGCACCGTGAGGTCGCCTTGGCGGGATACGACCACGCCGACCCGCCGATCGACAGAGACGGCAACCTCGTGGCGGGCGTCAGCGAGGGCGCCTGGCTTGCCATCGGGAACTTTCCCGACGTTCCGCCTACCTCGGTCAGAGGCTCGAAGTGGGCCGTGGTCGCTAAGCGCCCCTGCGGCAGCCACGAGGGGGCGATCCACGTCAAGGAGGCGAGAGGCGCCAAGCTCGGCCTCAAGCACGTGGTTCGGTGTGGGCGCTGGCGGCACAGCAAGGTGCTCATGCTGGTGGACAATATGTCACTCGCGCTGGCCATGCAAAAGGGCCGCTGTCGCGATCCAGCCCTCCTCGGCCAGCTTCGTCAGATGGCCGCGCTGCAGCTCGCCACTGGGCTGCGGGTGCAGTGCCGCTGGATCCCGTCGGAGGTCAATCCTGCTGATCGGCCTTCGCGGCTTTGGGAACCTGCGGCTGCTGCTCTGGGCCATGCATGGCGTCCTCCTCCTGGGCCCCCTCATCCTGATGGCGGGCGCGGTATCGAGGGCGCCTGCAGCGAAACGCAGAGTGACGACAGGCATTGCGACACGCAACGTGGCGCAACGGATCGAGGCGGCGCCGGTGATGCATCTGGATCGCCCCGACCCTCGAGTGCGCGGAGCTGTGCCTCTGGAGGGCGGCCAATCGCCACAGGCCGCAGGGTCAGGACCATCCGAGCAGGCGATCCTGGCCCGGCCCCCGGCGACGCGAGCCGAGCCTCGAGGCGGCTCGCGGAGATCGCGAGTCACAACCTCGACAAGGCTGGCTGCCGCCCGGCGGTCGGCCAGCAGCGGAGGCCTCTCCTACCTCGAGAGCATCGCTGTGAAGCCCGTCCAGATCGAGGATTACCACAGACGGATCGAGGAGTTCTACGAGTACGCCCGCCGCCAGGGTTTGAACGTCAGCACCTTGGACTCGCTGGAGACGGCCCTCCTGGACTGGGCGGACGAGGCGTATCTCGAGGGCAGGAAGAAGCACGATGGCGAGAAGCTGAAGGCTGCTGTGCTCCACTATTACCCGAACCTGAAGCGGCCCAACACCAAGCCGCTGGCCAGGTTCGAGAGATGCTTGAAGGCCTGGGGACGCCGGAGGCCCGCGCTGGGCCGTCTGCCACCCCCGTACCCGACGATCTGTGGCCTGGCTGTGGCTCTCCACCTCCTGGGCCGCACGGACATGGCTGTAGCCGTGCTGGTCGCGCTGAGCGCCTACTTGCGGCCAGGGGAATTGCGTGGGCTCCGCGTTCGGGACGTCGTCCCACCCGCGCTTGGCTACGGACCAGAGTACCAGAAGTGGTCGCTGATCCTGGGGCCTTCGGACAGCATCGGAGGCCCCACCAAGACGGGCGTCTACGACGACAATGTGACGATGGACCACGAGAACCTGCAGTTCCTCGACCGCTTCTTCGAGCTGCACCGCCAGGGAAAGGGGTCGAACGACCCGCTGTGGGGCTTCACGCAGGCGGAGTTCGGGGCCATGATCGCGAAGGCGCTGAAGGTGCGCCAGCTCGAGGGCCTGGGGATCGCCCCCTACAGCCTTCGGCGCGCGGGCCCGTCGTGGGACGCCATCACGGGCAGGAGGTCGCAGCTGGAGGTCCAGCGTCGCGGGCGCTGGGCCAGCATGAGCTCTCTCATCAGGTACGAGAAGTCCAGCAAGGTCAACTCCCTGCTTGTGAACCTGGACGACAGCGTCCAGGAGTACCTCAGGCTCTGCACGGCGCACCTTGGAGACATCCTCCTCGGCACGGTGAGCGCACCCCGACCGCCTGGCTGGAGCGAGGCGACATCTTCCTCGACATCTTCGCTGGTTCCGAGGGAGTCGGCAAGGCGGTGGCAAGGTGTGGCATCTCGTCGCTAGAAGTGGAGCTCGAGCTGGGGATCGACATTTTTGCGTCTGGAGTGATGAAAACACTCCTGAACTTGATCCGCTCGGGCCGCGTGCAAGGGATATTCGTGGCTACGCCATGCCGCTCATTCAGTATAGCCAGAAGAGCACCTCCCTCCTCACCTATGCCGAGTGCTGTTCGTTCTCCTGAGTGTATTTGGGGCTTTTCCAACCTCTCGGATCTAGATAAACACGTCTGTCTCGAGGGCAACCGGCTCGCTAAAGCAACATGCAAACTCGTTCGGCAAGCTATTCGATACGGAGTACCGCTCATGATCGAGAACCTTGCCTTTTCTATGCTCTGGCTTGTCCCGTTTTTGAAGCACATCGCTGAATCCAAGTTCGCTAAGTCGGTTGTGTTCGACCAGTGCCAGTTTGGGGCTGACTTCAGGAAGCGGACCGCCATCTTGATGTTCTCACATCTCGACGACTCTTTCCTGAACCAAAGATGTGTGGGCAAATCAGGTATATGCTCTAGGTCAGGAAAACCCCACGAACATCTTGAAGGAAAAGATATCTCTGGATGGAAGACCGACCGTGCTAAACATTACCCTCCTCGTCTCTGCACTGCTATCGCCGGCACCTTCAGATCCCTGCGGGCCCAGAAGCACGTTGCAGGTTCGATGGCACGGACGACCGACCATCCAGGAACGGCCTCTCCCTCCCGTACCCGCCCGAGGCCAAAACATTTCTGAGATTCGGGACCTCTTGATGGTGACTGGGGACATAGAGCAGTAGAATTCTATGCTGACTGGTGGCAAGCCTGTGATGTATCGCTTTGGGATATCATTCTATTGGCCGAGTAAATCGTCATGAGAGTGCGTGCACAGTAATGACGACACGGGGGCCGTACTGTGACACGAGTAGGGGGAAGGCAGCAGGAGCGTCGCGTGCCTCGCCCGTCCCGTGCTCATAGCCTTCTGTTGTTCCCGACCCGACCCGCCCTGGGACATAGAGCAGTAGAATTCTATGCTGACTGGTGGCAAGCCTGTGATGTATCGCTTTGGGATATCATTCTATTGGCCGAGTAAATCGTCATGATTATGATGATGATGTTGATGATGATGATGGTGATGGTGATGATGATGATGGTAATGATGGTAATGATGATGATGATGATGGTGATGATGATGATGATGTTGATGATGGCGATGATGATGGTGATGATGATGATGATGATGATGTTGGTGTCGTTGATGATGATGATGATGATGACGTCGATTGTGAGATCGATTGTGATATCGATAGTGAGACCGAATGTACTTCCATCGTCGTCCGTCTTCAGCGTCAATGATGATGATGATGACGTCGATTGTGAGATCGATTGTGATATCCATAGTGAGACCGAGTGTGACAACTCGACACCAACGCCCCCAAGAGCGAGCGGCAACGCAAGTATCTCCACTGGCACTGTCACAACAACATTCACCACTGTTGCCCATTGCTGGGCCCCCCCCAACCTCCTTATCACCCGCAGGGTGGTCGTATGGGTATATATGTTTGTATATGTATGCATGGATGGATGGACGAATGGATGGATGGATGGATGGAAGTGTGTATGTATGTGCGCATATGTGTGTATGTACGCAATGTATGTATGTGTGGATCGTTGGATGGATGTATGGATGTATGTAAGTAGCTGTTCCTGTTTGCACGTATGTTGACTGAGCGATCTCTATCGACTGGTGGCAACCATCAGATTTGTCCATCGATCGATTTGTCCCACTCCTCTTCGGTCGACGTACCCACATGCCGGCGTCACGAACTTCAGCTGCCTACGGCAAGTCCCGCCACCGTGCCTGGGTCGTAAGTATGAAGTTTATTGGATGCATGTTGAGGCCATCTTGAGCGTTTTCGAGCGATCGTTCGGCGATTCGGGGCCCTCTTGGACTGTTTTCGGGGCTTCCTGGGCCGTCATGGAAGCCTTGGAGCCCCAGAGGGGCGCCATGGCCGCCCCGGGACTCCCTGGGAGTAGGGGTGGTGCAGTCGGTTCGGTGTGACCGGGAGGATGGGGGGCCCCTTCGAAAAGCACAGAAACCCTACCAGTCAGCCTTTGGCATTCTTCCATGCCTCGAACTGCCGCAGGCAGGGGGGCGGATATATGTGTACGTATACAGATATAGACATATATATATATATATATATGAAAGAGCGTGTTCTACCGCTGCTGGCGGAAAACCGGGGGGGGTCACTACCGGTTCGAACCCCTCCCCCCCCCCCTCCGGAAAACCGGGGGGGGTCACTACCGGTCACTACGAACCCCTCCCCCCCCCCCCCCCCTCCGGATCCGGAAAACCGGGGGGGTCACTACCGGTTCGAACCCCCCCCCCGTCGAAAACCGAGTGGGGGCGCGGACAGTGGTGGGGACGGTGTTGGCGGGGACAGTGGTGAGGGGATAGCGGGACAGTGGTGCAGACAGTGGGACAGTGGGACAGTGGTGGGGACGGTAGTGGTGGGGACAGTGGTGGGGACAATGGTGGGAACAGGGGGGGACAGTGGACAGTGGTGGTGACGGTGGTGGTGGGGACAGTGGTGTGGGGACAATGGGAATGAGGTGGAAACAGTGGGACAGTGGAGGGTACAATGGTGGTGGGGACAGTGGTGAAGGCGGTGGCGAGGACGGCGGTGGGACAATGGGACAGAGGTACAGTGGGGACAGTGGTGGGGACAGTGGGGACAGTGGTGGGAACAGTGGGACAGCTCAGTGGGACAGCGGAGGAGTCAGTGGGACAGTGGGGACAGTGGGGATAGTCGGGCAGTGGTTGGGGCCGTGGAGACAGTGGGGAGAGTGGAACCGTGGTGGGAACAGTTCTGGGGACAGCGGGAACAGTGCGACAGTGGTGGGGCCACTGGTGGGGACAGTAGGGGCGGTGGTGGAACCAGTGGGGACAGCGGTGGTGAGGACAGTGGTGCTGGGAACACCAGTGGGGGATGTGATGCGGACGGTGGTGGGGACCGGGAGTCGTTTGCTGGCGGTGGTGAGTAGGGGGGGGGGGGGGGGGGGGGGGGGGGGGTTCGAAAGGGGTGACCCCCCCCGGTTTTCGGGGGGGGGGGGGGCGAACCGGTAGTGACCCCCCCCGGTTTTCGAGGGGGAACGGTAGTGACCCCCCGGCTTTCGAGCGGGATGGGGGGGGGGGGGGGGGGGGGAGGGGTTAGGGGGGGGGGGGGGGGGGGTTTTGCCGGGGGAAGGGGGGGGGGGGGGGAGGGTTCCAGCAGGGGGGGGGGGGGGGATTTTCGGAGGGGGGGGGGGGGCGACCCCGGGTTCCGGAGGAAAAAGTTGGCAATTTTCCACAGTAAAGCGGCGGTGGATCACGCTCTCTCATATATATATATACATGCATACGTACATACACATATATATATATATATATACATATACATTTCCTTACACGTACACATTACATTTGCATAGAAGTACATATGTCTATGAAGATGCAACTTTAAAATGTTTACATATGCACATGTATGTGTGTGACGGCATCGCAAACACTATCTCGAGACAGCCATTGGGACAAAAGTCCTACATTCTGTTCCATATAACAATACATCTGGCGATGGCCCTCACTTCGGCCACACCGGACGGTTTTCGGCACCAAAACGGGCCCGAAAAAACCAAAAGCCCCAGGACAACCCAATCAGGGTCGAGACAGCCCCAGAGCGTTCCGAGACGCCCCAAGTTGGCTTCAAGATTGCCCCAGAAGCTTACAACACGTCCCAAGAAGGCTCCAACTGGACTTCCTGGAGAGCCCCGAGAAGCCAAAATTATCCCAATCCTTCCGCCAAACCAATATTTTCAGCATGTAAGTTTTTTGGGCGCTAGCCGCGGTCAGGGCGGTCCAAGATGGCTAACCGACTTCGAAGAAGGCCCTACGAAGGCTCCAATGCAGTCCAAGAGGCGCCCAAGACGGCCCAAGAGGGCCCCAGGAGACGCACAAGAGGGGGAACACGAAGAGGCCCCCCAGGTCCTCCATTCCAAAATGGCCCCCAAAGCGTCCCGGAACCTTCCAGGACGTCCCAAACAGGCCCCAAGAGCCTTCCGACAGGCCCCGAGAGGCTTCACGGAGCCCTCCCAGGCGCGCCCGAGAACCGTCACAGGCGATCCCAACATAAACCCAACGATCCCAGTCCCCGTCCGAACCTGCGGTTTGCGAAAGAGTTCACGTCAACCTGCAAAAATGTCAGCGACACGCCCGCTGCGCGACAGATAGCGCCCCGCGCGTTGCGGCACGCGCCGCCGAGCGCCCTTCTGCGGGAGGGACTGCGCAGGCAGACAGATGACGTCGGATGCACGTGGCAGTCCAGGAGTGAGTTTACATCATTGTTTGCGCTTCGGAGTCTGACACATTTCCCGACACCCAATCGACAAGCATTTCTTGTTCCTGCTCTTCGACCCCCCCGTCGCCACGGCTGAACGAAGCTCGACAGTGATCTGCGACGCGGGCCGCGGCGCCTAGCCCCGTTCCCGTTGATCAAGGCACGCGTGGTCAACAGGGTGCCGCGTTCAACATAATGCAACTTCGCACGCGGGATCCTGCGCATCTGCCCTTACACCCTGCGGCCGAGAGGACGGGATTCACGGACCAGAGGACAAAGCAATGACGAGGCCTTCCTTGGCCGCAGAGGCAGCGTCGACCTCAGCCTCGACACCCAACGTTCGCCCTCTGAAACACATGCGGCAGCCCTCCGCTCGCGCATCCAACGCGCGGCATCGTCGGAAGATCAGCATAGAAATCCTGCATCGTGCGCTTCCACCTCTTCCTCCTTCCCCCCACTGCCCCCTCCTTTTTCAATCACTCGTCCTTCAACCTTCTCCCGCTCGCGCCCTGCCCTTTTTCCGCGCCC